GTCGCTTGGTCTTCAGAACAGCCGCTATTTGATTAAGCATGAAACAGGCTAAAGATTTGCAGTACCTAGGTGTTATACTGGTAGCCCATACATGCTTGATGTCATCTATTGATGTTTTCTCTGACACTGGATATTTTTGACTAACCTTATACTTAATCATTTTTCACATGTTTTCAATCCGATTTCCAAATTTGACCTAGGTCAAGAAAGTCCGCACTTGACCAGGCCATGATCTGGCAGCTGCTATCTGGTGGCAGGGTTTAACATACTGAAAATGGGTGCAGCAGTGTATTGCCATATATGGGGAGCAGTTTTTCTCTCAAAACATCCAGGTAAACTTGCCCTTTAACTGTCATGTTCTTTGGCATAAACTAAATACCACCAGTGCCAGATGTGCATAGGGTGCCCTATATCATGGTCTATAGAGCCTGTTTGACCGTTAGGGTCAGATATTTTGGATTGTACCTTTTGTTGATGGGTCTCTGAACTATCCTGTTATAACGCATGTACTGAGTGAAGGTTGATTCATCAGAAAACATGACTTTCATTTATTGATCTTCCATCCAGGTCCTGTACAGCTTACAAAATGTCAAGCAATCTTTGAAATTCTTCGATATTTTTCGAGGACAGGTTAAATTTAACTACTGGTCGCCTTCTGACAGTCTGGGTACTCACTCTAGCAGGTATTCGGGCACAATGTTAACTGAAGACATGTTTGGATGAGCAACTGCAGTTCTTCAGATAAACCTATTAGTTACTGTTAATGTCACTCGAAGTCTACCAGAGTTTTCCCGAGATTTGTAATTTCTTAATTCGTCTGTCCTGGTCAGAGTCTTGGACACTGATGACTGGAGCTTGCCAAGAATCTGCTTTTTTTTATGGGACATGTTCTGCTGGCTCAGAACATGAACCTGAGTACGTTGTGCAGTTGTTATTTCTTTAGATCGCACCATTTCACACACTAATTAGTTTTTAAAATAGTTAAGTTTATTGTTTTGATATATTTTATCCTCTTATAAATTATTAATAAAAGGTAAAACAAGAGAATTCTAATGTAATTAGCTAAGTTAATTAAAATATTATTTTATTTTCATTAGACATACCTCCATAATCTTACAGCTGATCTGAACTCGGTCCAAATGAACTTCTAACTGACACAGAAAATAAAAACAGTCAACAGCCAAATATTCAATATCAGCTTACTAATCACGGAATTATTTACTGTCAATTATGGCTTGTGATTGGCATAACCAAGTCATGCATTACAACCTAGAAATAGTGCATGGGATGTCCATTGATCTCTCAATTTTTTTGAATAGAGAGATACAGACAGCTTAGGTGATAAAAATAGTTGACAAGTAATCGGCAATGATCCCAAGTTTTCAATAAATTAAAAACTTGATGTACTTTTAATTATGTTGGGTCAGTAATATCAAAATCGTTAAAATTTATGAGTAATTCCAAACTTTTAGCCACGGCTGTATACATTTACATATACACACACATATTATATATATAAATATATTATATATCTATATATATATCTATATATATATATATATATATATATATATATATCTATATATATATCTATATATATCTATATATATATATATATATATATATATATATATATATATATATATATATATATATATATATATATATATATATATATATATATATATATATATATATATATATATATATATATATATATATATATTATATATCTATATATATATATATTATGTATCTATATATATATATATATATTATTTATCTATATATATATATATATATATATATATATATATATATATATATATATATATATATATATATATATATATATATATATATATCTATCTATCTATCTATATATATATATATATATATATATATATATATATATATATATATATATATATATATATATATATATATATATATATATATATATATATATATATATATATATATATATATATATATATATATAAACAACCCTCGGAACTAGGGTCAGCGGCAATGCCAACTTAACTGCTGACCTAAAAGTATTTGAGGTCGGCAAAAATATTACCCACCTCGTTTCTATGTTTTATGGTAAGACCTTTGTTTCAAATTTTTTTTGCTGACCTGATGCCAGCTTCTAAAAGATTGAAATTGGCAAATTATTGCCAACCTCATTTTTCCTAATTCCGAGGGTTGCATATATGTGTATTATATATACACATACACATACACACATTTATATTTATGTATACATAGTATTTATATAGTATATTATTAGTATTTATATAGTATATATGTTGCAGATTATAATGAAATTCTTTCATATGACAAAAGTTGCCAGATAGCTGGATCAGCTGCAATGGTAAGTTTAATAATTTATATCAAAATTTTATCTTTTTAAATATATATATATATATATATATATATATATATATATATATATATATATATATATATATATATATATATATATATATATTTAAACATATATATATATAAATATATTTATATATAAACATTCTGAATGTTTTAATTTTTTTTCTGTAAAACATTTGCAAAGTGTTGCTACATCTACTCTTATAGCCTACTGCTACAAGGTAGTGCTGCTACATTCACTATCTTATAGCCTTTTTATTTTTTATTTTTTTTTTTTCTTATTTTTTTTCCTTGTTATTCAGGCGCTCCAAGAAGACCTAACGGTCTTGTCACAGAGCACCTCAGAAACGCATCTCCTGCTTATAAAGCAAGCGCTCTAACCACTGCGTCATGGCCGCACAACTATAAGGAACTGTCACTACAATAGTGACACTACCTCGTAGTTGTGCAGCTGTGTAATACAATAAAATAAGCCTAAAAAAACAAAGGTTTTATCCTTTTACCTGTCTTTAATGCATTTAAAAATAAACAATATAAACTTGACATTTTATTGGAAAAATTAAAAATCACCAAGCATCAGTATTACCTGCATTTTGGTTTCACCTACGTAAATTTTGAAACAGTTGCATTTTATTATATAGCCTCCAGGCTGGCTGTTACTGGTAGGCTTACTGTTATGGTTTATTAAATTTGCAGCCATATGCAAAAATTTATCTAAAACAACATATATTTTTTATTTAATCAAAATTTCCATACTGTGTTGTGAAACTAAAATTTTAATTATGATATGCAATTATCAATATCTTGCAATTCTTAATGATGTAATCTTGCAATTTTATTAATGATGCAGTTTTGTTAAGGTAGTTTTAGTATAAATACTTTTGATAATAAACATGGAATATAGGAAAGAGATGACTGATTTCTTGAACCATTTGTATTTTACTTATTATAATACAATGTTACAATAAATAGCTGTTATGAAAAATAAAATGGCAAAAAAGAACTTGAAATTAAAACATTTACTTTTATTTTTGTTTTTTTCATTACTAAATGTTATAAATTAAAAAACATTTATCTTTGTAGAGAATACTCTCAAGGTAACTAACAATGATTTTTTTAATGATTTCTGACATTTTATAGCGACTACCTGGCCAAATCAATGAGCGGAATGAAAAACTAAAAGAGGAAATGTTTAGTAAGTTTTCATTATTTTTGTAATTGATTCTTATTTTCTAAAAAATTATGCCATTATTTACAAAATTTAAAAATCAGTTAATGTTGTTGAGATGTTTATTTGATTTAAAGATGCTAAATAATAATGCCGAACCCTTCCATACCAACAAAGTTTATCCAACATTCAACTTTTTCTTTAATAACCTACTAGCATGATAAAGAATAAAACTAACATTATAATGAAATGTTGGTAAAATACAACAATATAAGGTCTATCACCTGCTAAGGATATATGGGATCATTAGATGTATTCATTAGAAGTATCTATAAACTTATGACTTAGCTTTAATATATATTGTTATTATATTTGAACAATATAGATTTTAATTTTCACTTTTATTTTATTCAGATTTTACTTATCCATTTGTCATTGTTGACATCAAATGTATTTAGTTACAGAGTTTTGATGTCAGTTAAAAAAGTTTGTAAATATTTGTAATAGATATATTTGTAAAAGATTGTCACATACCAGTCCGAAATCGTCTGTAGCACAAATAATTAATATTGAAAAGTTTTTTTTTTTTTTTTTTTCTGTAAAGGGTTTCCTTCAAATGTAGATTCCTAAACCTTTACCTTAGTCGATATTCGAAACCCCTGCATACTTTATATTAGTATGAAATCAATAATGCTTCATACGGATCTAAGTTCCAGTATAAAACATTATGTTGTTGTTAAGCATTGCTTGTTATTAGACGGTAAAATGTATCAAGATTTTTTTTGATCTTTATATAAACTTTTTTGTTATGTAAGTTTATGACAACGTTAATGTTTTGGCCTACCAGAATAGGTTTACTTGAAAAAATTTCTTAATAGAGAATAATAAGTTGTTCTTTTTTTTTTCTTTCCTACCCCTTTCAACGCTAATCCAAACACGTAGTTTGACAACAAATGCTGCTTTAGGAAAAAACAAGGTAAGCAAGGTACTTCCAAAGATGTTAGAGTTTAATATAAAGACAGATTTCTCAGAAGTAGCTACTCTAGTATCTACACCAACACTGCATAACTATTTCCTAATAACCCATATTCATAAGGTAAAACTAAACTTATTTTAAACAATTTTTATTGCAATTATATAACTTTATTTTAGGTAAGCTTAAAGATTTGGGTAACATGTGTTTAAAACCTTTTGGATTATCAACAGACAATTTTAAAGTAAACCAGGATCCGAAGACGGGCGGATATTCGATTAATTTTCAAAAATAGATGCAGTTTTATAAACGAGATTCGCTAATATTTAACTATATTTATGGATTTGTTCTTGCTTCTAACAACCAGTGGTTGCAAATAAATGAATTTCTCACGAACAATTTTTTTTTTTAATAAACCTGTATTATAAGAGTTATTGAGGTTATTAAAATATTTCACAATTATTCAAATTTGCTTTTTAAATTCTTTCAACAATTTTTTAGGTAAAGATTTTTTAAAACCAATCTATGTAAAGTATATAACTAATAACGGGTGGCATTTAAAAAATGGGAATGGGTTTAAAAAGACATTCCATAAAATAATCTGTAAAACAAAAATTTTAAATTTTATAAGATTTATTTTTATTCTAGTTATAAAATGTTTTATTTATCTTTATTAAAAAAAAAAACACGAATTGATTAAATAAATTCAAAATGAGAAGAATTAAAAAATATGTGCATGAGTTTTATCAAAATTACAAACGTGTTTGGTAAAAAGTGCATTAATAATCAATTTAAAATGACAACATGCTTAAAAGTTCCATCAAAATTGAAAAAAAAAGAGGCTAAAGAAGTGGAGGAAACACTAAAAAATTTGACAAATGTTTTTTTTTAATTTTTTATTTAGGTACCCTAAGAAGTCCTTACGGTCTTATCATAGAGCACTGCGGATGAGCATTAAATTGGAAGTTCACGCCTTCTTCCTAACCGATGTCTCAAAACTTGCCCAGAGGTGGGTTTGAACAACGGATCCTTTGTTTCTGAGGCAAGTGCGCTACCACTGCTTCACGGCTGCTCAAACATTAAAAGGTTCAAGTTTGTGTTTGGCCATAGAGATGGAGTTTCTCAACGAAAGCCCGCTCAAAAATTCAACTGTACTCGGCAATACTCAATAGAGTAGAGCTTTAAAAACGATCACAAAAATTAAACTAAGAAAACTCCAAAACACTAAGATCAGCTAAGTGAAGTCGTTAGTGCTAACTGCACGTAGCATTAATAATGAATAGTATAGTTTAGATGGCGAATAAAAGATTCATTGAATATTTATAGAAAAATCATACTCTTGTTAAACAATGAATTATGGATAGAGTTCAATAAATACGGTTGCATATAAACCTTTTACATGTAAATAATTTTTTATTGATATAATTTTTGATGTTTTGCCAATCTGCAATGGGCAACGTCACCAGGTATAATATAGAAAATCGTTACAAAGTAAATCGTTATAATGGAAAACAAACCCTGAAAAGAATAACGTTAAAAACATAAAATACACCCACGAAAAAAGTTCGAATACTGACGTCGCACAGTTCCTCAGACACCTTAAAAAGTGGCCAAGCGTAAATGTAGAAAATGTTATAAAACCTTAGATTACATAAATGCTGTAGAAAATGTTATAAAACTTTAGGAGGCTAATAAATGCTGTAGAAAGTATTTTTTTAGCTTAAAAATATTTAAATCTATTTCTTAAAATATTAGGTTTATCGTTTTGATAAAATTTTGTTAGCAAAAAATACACTTTTTAATATAGTTGCAAGTTTTACGTACAATTTATAGTGTTTGAGCATGAACTTTCAGACAAATTGAAAGACTTAAAATAAACAGACAATTACTTATTCATATTTTTTATTTCTTAATATGAAGAAAAATTTTTTAAACTAAAATATTCTCCAAAAAAGTTTTCAAACTAGAAAGTAATTTTTTCATTGGATTTTAAAAAAATTTATATTTATAAAAAGTTAAAAACGTTCCACCAGATTATACCCTAATTTTTGTATCAACACTACATTAATGGAATAGAAAATGAACATGACATATTATATCTTAAAAATTTATGTATAGTTACATCAAAGTAGGCGTACTTAATAGATGGTTTCTGTGCAGAACAGAAAAAAAGTTCATCTAATCATCTAAGCCAAATGCACGGAACAACTTAGCCTATTAAGGTTAATTTAATTTAACTAGATTAATTCATAAATAGTTTACTTTTACGTATAAAAAGTAAATTACATTTCAAGTTAAACTGCTTTTATAAGTACAACTCAAATTACCTTTAAATGACCTTTAAAAATAATTTACATTAGCAAGTAACAGTAAACAGCTTTTTCATTTTATTATTTTTATTTATAAAATTAAATTACTTTTTTAAGTAAAAGTTTTGCATTTTTAAAATTAAATTGAGGAGCTTAGTGCTAAAAGTCACCAAATAAATGTTTTAAGAAAATTTACTTTGATCAGAGATAAAATACTTTAAAATGAAGATTTAAAATGGCTGATCAAAGTAGATTTTCTCAGTACATTTACTTTGTGACAAGTACCTTTACCATTAAGCTCTTCAATTTATGTTATTAAGTTTTACATATAAAGTTATTGATTTTTGTCAATTTTAGTAAAAAAATTGTATTTATTCTATATATTTATCTTATTTTATATAAATATAAATTTTATTTTTTATTTTATTTTAAAATTTGTTATATTATTTGGTATTGAATTCACATCTTTCACTATTCATATTATTTCTTCACAATTATTAGTGCTTTTCAAACTTGGGTGTAGTTAGGGTTTTGGGTGCTTGTAGTGAAGTCCTTTTTATTGCAGTATGGAGTAGGCGTAAATCACGGGGTAAAGCATAAATGGCAATAATGTTTTTTCTTTATCTTATACCTCCTATCATTTTATATTTATTATTGGCGATATCTCTATGCATATGTATATTTGTGTTAAAGTAACTTAAACATTTGTATTTAATGAAGATTTTTGTTTACTTATCCTGTTTTGCTTTAGGTATACTTTAACGATAAAACTATTTTTGAATATGATTATGTATAAACTTTTTTTTCTTAAAATAAATCTGTGTTTATAGTATGTTTAATCTGTTCGTTTTTGACTTGCTATTCATTGGTATTAAAGCAATTACTGGCAACACATAATAAAAAGTCTTTCACAAATGAAGGGATTGCTAAATATAACACTCTTGGCTTAAACTTTTTTCTGTGCATGATAGAGGGAAAACAAAAAAAGTTTACACAACCTATGGAAGAACTTAAAATGGATGTTGATGACTCAGTTGAGAGTTAAAATGTTTTCTACGGCAACGCAAAAAACAAACAAAAATGAATAAAAATGTCAGAAAAAGAAAAAAGAAAATGCTGACGACACTTTTTTTCTAAAGGACCTTTATTTTTTTAATAAACTTATAGATACAGAGGAATTTTTTTAGAAATTAACGATTCTGCCCCGCCACTTAGAAACCCGTGTCGTCGGCCCTAAAATGTAAAGAGATAATAATAATATTAAATTGAATAAAAAGCAGATTAACAAAAAGAAAAGGATAGAAAAGTAATTATAATGGTACTACTTTTTGTTAACATTTACTTTTTTTAGTTTACTTTATTACATTAAAAGTTTTGTTTATTCTGTAATTTTTTTTATAGGTTTTTGTTGAAGTTTTTTTGTTTTGTCAAGTGTGTTTTTTTTTTTATTATATTACAACAATTATGATTATATTTACTAAGTCTTAACAATTTTTTAACAATATTCGTTTTTATGTCATCTTTAATTATTACGTTTTGTTTGTTTATTACTATTTATAACTGTAACTACGTAACGTTATGTAAACGGTTGTTGTATTTTTGTTGTCACTTCTATTATTTTCGCTATTAACTAATTATTTAATATTTCTATATATATATGTATGTGTTGTATTTATTATTATCATGTGTATGTATTGCAATTTTCATTATTTAGCGTTGGCATTTTTTTGTGTGCAACTTACGTTTGTAATACTGATACTAATACAATACTCTTATTAAATGACTGTCTTTAATTATGTATAATATACTATGTATTATTATTGTTATTAATATTTTCATTTTTATCTATTATTATATTATTGTAATTTTTATCAGGATTAGTTTATTACTATTTATAAATAACTTTGAACTGTAATAACTTTAAAGTTATACAAATTATATACAAATTTGTATACTATATATATATATATATATATATATATATATATATATATATATATATATATATATATATATATATATATATATATATATATATATATATATATATATATATATATATATATATATATATATATATATATATATATATATATACATATATATATATATATATATATATATATATATATATATATATATATATATATATATATATATATATATATATATTGATTGAGAAATAATTTCTCTTGATAAGATCTAGACTGTCTCTGTCTGTAGGCTGCGTATTGTAATTGTACAATGTCTGAAGAAAAGTATGAGGCTGGGACTGTAAAACGAAAATAAGCCATGGATAAAAAGGCCAGAGAAAAAAAAGATGTAGCGTGCTCATCTAAAATGAAAACTTTTTACATTATACAACAGTTCAGAAACAAAAAAAGTAAAAGTCTAAAACCAGATAGTCAAGGTAATGTGAAATGAGAGAAGTTCAAAACCAAAAATGAATTAATCTTAAACCGGCTACAGCTGAATATGATGTTGACACTGAACACGCACAAAAACAAGCAGTGGTAGACCTGCCAATTGTTTATGAAACTAATTTGGGAAAACAGTTTCATCAAAACGCAATCTAATTTTATCAGCACCGGCGGTATTGAATTTCAACATAAAGATGAAGGATTTTTGCAATCGAAACTCTCGGACAGTAGTATAAGTCGAAATCGGTGTTGTACTCATTCATTATTCACTCGACATCATAAATTAACTGGTGAAAATTCTAAACGTACCTGGCTTTGCTAATTATCATCAAATGGACATGCTTATTGTTTCAAGTGTAAGCTTTTATTATTTGATGTAAAAAATAATTCTCCTCTTACACAAGGGTTTCGTAGAAATCAAGGGTTTTATTGAAACGGACAACGTGATGTCGAGCTAAATGAAAATAGTGAAAGTCATATATCGACTTATTTAGCATTTGCACAGCGCTTGTGTTGTGATTGGTTGTGTTGCAGATTGGTTATGTTGTAATTGGTTGTGTTGATAAGGAACAGGAGAAAGCAATCTTAAATGAATCTAAGTATTGGTAATTGTTCTTCGGCGGACGGTGGATGTAGTAAAGTTTAAAGCTGAGCGTGGTTTGCTACTTCATGGGCATGAAGAGAAATTTGGTTCCGTACATAATAGTAACTTTGTGGGCATACTCGAGCTATTACCTTT